TGCTGTGATGCTCTAGCATTAACGGAATCTTTACTTTTGCAGAGTAATGGGATTTAATATACCTTCATTATATTTTAAAGTTATAGTCAGTGCTGGATTATCTGTGCTCATAGTAGAAGAACAGTGGTGTTTAATGATCAGAACGCTTTGGGAGTACATTTTGGGATTTTTGGCAGCCCATTTCCCTTCCTGATTTGATATTGTTCAGGCTCAACCCAAACGAATTTGATTTCTGTGAGGATTTGCCAGTTGATGATGCAAAGAGGCAAGCCTTGCATGTTCTAGGTTGTACATGGAAGATCATTTGAGTTTAAGACTTTGCTGTGGATAATCTCTAGGGTCATGAGCCCAACTCTTCATACCTCAGGGAATTTACTTCAGGGGCAAGTTACATTTATTTTCAAGTTGATAAAGAGGTGATTTTAGCTAAGTTCTGTTCTGTCCCTACAAATGAGAGAGAGAGAGCAAAAAGACTGGTTACATTCCTGTGCAAAAATCATAGAAAGCTAAAGTAAAAGACTGTATCATCAAACCAGTTCAAAAGAAAGTTAGTTGAAAATTGATACTACAACCACTTTGGAAAACAGTTTGGTGTTATCTACTAAAGCTGACCATTTGTGTGCCCTGTGACCCAGCGTTTCCACTCCTAGGTATTGTAATCATCAGAAATGTATAGATATGTGCTCAAAGACAGGTACAAGAATATTCACAGCAGCACCATTATTAGTAGCCAAAAAACTGGGAACCACCTAAATGCCCATCATTTGTACAATGGATAAATTGATTGCAGGTATTCATTCAGTGGAATACTTCACAGCAATGAGAATAAATGAACAACTGCTGCATGAAACAACATGGATGAATCTCACAAACATAATGTTGAGAAAAAGAAAACAAACAGAAAAGAGTACAAACTGTATGATTCCATGCACATAAAGATTTTTGTTGTTTATTAAGGCAAATTTCTTGTTATCCTCAGGGGGAAGATGGGTAATAGCTGGGAGGGGAACAGGAGGGGCCTCTGGGATGCTGTTGATGTTCTGTGTCTTGCTTTGGGTGCTGATGTATTCACTTTGTGCATGAGCTGTACACTTAGTATTTGTGTACTTTTTGTGTATATATTGTAATTCAGTAAAAGGAACAACAAACCCCCCCCCAAAAAAAATGCAAGTTAAGTTTAACCTTGTCCTGTGTTTTATATAACAGAAAATACATCTTTTCCTAATCTTGAAATAACTTGCTTAAACAACCAAGCATCTGTCAAAAATGATTCTCATGAAAACGTCTCAGGCTGTTTCGCTTAGTGTAAATTTCTTTATCTTGAGCCAGGTTGGAGGGATCAGAGTCCATGGTTCCAAAAGCATCTCCAGTACGAGTAAATGTGGCACAGCACTTCTCATCTCAGACTGCCTGCTAGAACTACCTGGGAGTCCTGAAAAATGCCCATGTCCAGCACTTCACCCTACATTCTCATTTAGTTGTTCCAGGGGTGAGGTCTGAGCATCAGTATTTTTTAAAAGCTCCCAGGGTGACTCTGATGTGCAGCCAGGTGAAGGACCACTGATATAGAGCCTCATCAGAAATCTCAAGAGAGAGACCAGTTAATATCAATAAATGGAAACAGGACTGCCTTTTCATTGTAAAGTAGTTTTGGATTGAACAGAGAATGAAGTTTGCATCGTTTCTAATGTAGTCTGATTACAGGATTCAAATAAATATATCAAAAACAGTGGCATTAAAACATTTTCCTTTTCCCTTCATTTCTTCCATATTTGCCAAATGCTCCCCTGTGCAAGGTATCAAAGCAGAATTTTTTCCCTACCCCATGTGTATACAGGCATGTGAGTGCACCCATGGCCCACACTTATTACTCTGGTAACACTCCAAGTAACTAACGTGAATGTAGAGCATGATACTTACAGTAGCTATTTCAGCTCAGCATTGTCCTTACTAAATCACAATCGGCCACTTTGGTACATGATGTTCTAACTATAAAAGAAAACTGAAAGAAGCCTAGGCACTGTGTTGAGTGCAATTTTCAAGGAAAGAGCAAGAAATCGAACATTTTAAACCAATAAGTGAAAGCTGGAGAGAGAAAGAAATGTTAAAATATCTTATTTTCTTGAAGTATTTTCCATCCAATCTTGTACAGTCAAAATGAGCATTTAAGTGTGAGAAAAAAAACCACTGAAGATCTCAGAGAAGACTAGAGGGTGTCAGGTTTCTTGATTAGAAGAATTTATCATCAAAGGCAAAAGAGAAAAGATGGTAAAGATTTTTAAAAAATAAACCAAAAAACCTCCAAGTGATCACAAATTAATGGTGCAAAATCAAGAAAACAAAAGTAGGTATTATTCTTGTTCATTTTAATTGTAGTTTTTTTCCATTTCGTGTGTTCTTTAAAACCACTTAATTATATTTGACATTGAAAATCTAATAGAGCCTTTTGTTTTCAACCAGTTTACTAATTGCAAAATATGTCAGGAATCAAAAGGGCAGG